TGTTTTTTTTATTCCTCTATTTTAATGAAATATCCAGCGATCTCCAACCCAGCTCTGCTCTCCCTGCGCGCTCCAATAAAACCTCCTCTGTGGGCACTGCATTAATCTGCGAGGTAATTAGCTCTGGACAACGATTTAATAGCCTGCTAATGCTTTAGCGTTCGTTCAGCCCGGGGTGATGTAAACAACACAAGCAAGTTTTTAAACTATGCCAGGCCTGAAAATGTTTATTGTGACACGGGGAAATAGATGGAGCTTTGTGGGGACGAGCTTGGCAACAGCTTGTTGAGCGTAAATCCTCTTTTGGAAGGTTTAGCTAATCTGAATAAATTCAATTTCAAAATCCTTCCTTGATCTAAGCTTGCTTAAGCTCCTGCTTCGGCCCGAGGACCGCCGGGGTCATTCCCCACAACAAAGGCGCTGGGTAAAATCTACTGTTTCTCAAAATCTGCTACCTTGGTGCAAGCAGCCTTTGGGTTGAGGTAACGGGGCGCTTTCTCCGGGCCATTTTGGCAAAGCGGTGAGTTTACATGCCACCCAAGAGAGAGGTGCCGTGCCAGGAGCTGCCTTCCTGTTGCCCAAACCAACAATTTGAGATTAGAGACTCCGGACCGGAGGATTCTTTTTTTTGTGATGAAATGGATATTAAAAAATATTTTGGCTGAATTTTGGAGGGATTCAAGGTTCAAAAAATGTATTACATACCCACAAAAAGTCATAAAAAGGAATGCAGATTTAGTCCAATCCAATATCACACACAGCAACATCCAACGGAGGGCCCATTGACGGTGCATTGGATGGGACCAATAGAGGATCGTGCTGGAAACTGGAGAGCACATTGATGGTGCATTGGATGGGACCAATAGAGGATCGTGCTGGAAACTGGAGAGCCCATTGATGGTGCATTGGATGGGACCAATAGAGGATCGTGCTGGAAAATGGAGGACCCATGGATGGTACATCCGATGGACCCAATAGAGTGCCGTGCTGGAAAATGGAGGGCACATGGATAGTGCATTGGATAGGTCCAATACAGGGCAATGCTGGCAAAGGGAGGGCCCATTGACGGTGCATTGGATGGAACCAATAGAGGACAGTGCTGGAAAATGGAGGGCCCATGGATAGTGCATTGGATGAGCCCAATAGAGGGCAGTGATGGAAAATGGAGGGGGCCCTTGGATGGTGCATCAGATGGGTCCAATAGAGAGCAGTGCTAGTAAATGGAGGGCCCATAGGTGGTGCATTGGATGGGACCAATAGAGGACAGTGCTGGAAACTGGAGAACCCATGGATGGTACATCCGATTTACCCAATAGAGTGCCGTGCTGGAAAATGGAGGGCCCATGGATAGTGCACTGGATAGGCCCAATACAAATCAATGCTGGCAAAGGGAGGGCCCATTGATGGTGCATTGGATGGAACCAATAGAGGACAGTGCTGGAAAATGGAGGGCCCATGGATAGTGCATTGGATGAGCCCAATAGAGGGCAGTGATGGAAAATGGAGGGCCCTTGGATGGTGCATTGGATGGGCCCAATAGAGGGCAGTGCTGGAAAATGGAGGGGCTGTGGATGGTGCAATGGATGAGCCCAATAGAGGGCAGTGATGTAAAATGGAGGGCCCTTGGATGGTGCATCAGATGGGCCCAATAGAGGACAGTGCTAGTAGATGGAGGGCCCAGAGATGGTGCATTGGATGGGCCAAATAGAGGGTAGCGCTGGAAAATAGAGGGGCCGTGGATGGTGAAATGGATGAGACCAAAAGAGGGCCATGCTGGAAAATGGAGGGCCCATGGATAGTACATCTTATGGACCCAATAGAGGCAGTGCTGGCAAAGGGAGGGCCCATTGATAGTGCATTGGATGGGCCCAATAGAGGGCAGTGCTGGAAAAACGGAGGGGCGATGGATGGTGAAATGAATGGACCCAAATAAGGGCCAGGCTGGAAGCATTTCCTCAGTTCCCCCTCTCCCCAGTGATCAGACTGTACATTGTAACTTTGTAGAAGGAGGAGAAAGCATTTCCTCAGTCTCCCCTCTCCCAGTGATCAGACTGTACATTTTGTACATTTGTAAATTTTGCAGCAAGTCACAAGGTGAGAGGCTGCTGCAGGGGCTGATCTGTGTCAAACATTTGTTAATACAGTCAAGAACTGCACACACCAGGATTTACATGACTGTGTCATCTCAGGTCAGTACAGTTCTTTGCATCAAACTCCTTTTCAAGACCAGATATTAGCCTGTAAAAGTAGCAATGACACCATCGCTGTGCAGAGATGAGGCCTGTGGGAGGGGCCCCCTACAGGCTGCCTGCAAAAAACTACAGGAGCAGGCGGAGACAAGAGTGCAAGAGTACACTTTTCTGTCAGCTTGGTGCAGGGGCGGACTGACCATTTGGGCACCCGGGCACTGCCCGAGGGCCCGGGGTCAGTAGGGGGCCCCATGAGATGCCCCTGGTACCTTTCATAGGCTTTTTTGGGTGTGGTTTGAATGTGGGCAAGGATACAGAGGCCCCATGATCCCCTATTGCCCGGGGGCTTCATGAGTTGTCAGATCGCCCCTGGCTTGGTGGGTTGGTGGGTGCCTTCAGGCCTTCTGCTGGACTAGCTCCTTTCCTGCTGCTCAGGCTGCCCCTCTCAGTAGACGGTGGCTCCGTGGAGGTCCCCTCTTTCAAAACCTGCCTGTAGGAAGGCCCTTCCCCGGGGCCCCCTCCCAGGCTCCAAACTCCTTCACTCCATCTTCCACCCGACCAGGGGTGGACTGACCATTTGGAAACTCGGGCACTGCCCGAGGGCCCGGGGTCAGTAGGGGGCCCCATGAGATGCCCCTGGTACCTTTTTCATAGGCTTTTTTGAGTTTGGGCAAGGACACAGGGTCCCCATGATCCCCTATAGCCTGGAACCCCTCGTAGGCATACTGCCAATGCGCACGCAAGCAAACAAACTGCTACTTAGCTGCTGCATGCAAACATGGCTTTGACCCTCCAACTAGGTCACCCTTCATCAGGGCTTGGATAAAAATGACAAAGTTTTCTGTAGGACTTTATCTACTGGCAGTCGTTCTATGTTGGGGAAGGGACATTAGTAATTGCAATACATGTGTGCTGAGATACTCGTGCAATTGACAAACATCTATCAGGACCGGCATGGAACACCTTCTAGGTGCTAACCGCTAACATGTCAGTATTAAATAATTATGGATTATTGAATCAAACATCAGGTGCTTCTTTGGACGATTTCACATGAATTTCTTACTCTAGGAGGCCATCGCCTCTTGGGGTGGGGAACCCCACTGTGTAGTAGTGTTGTTGAAGTTAAGTCATCAAAACCCAACCAATACCTCTGATTGATGGATTGAAGATCCAAGTCCAGCACCTCTCCTTTATAGGGACTCAAAGCGGTCGAGGTTTATGGCACCAGAACCGGCCAATCTCTGGAGGGACACACCGAGCCTGGAACCCCTCGTAGGCACACCGCCAATGCACATGCAAGCAAACAAACTGTTACTTAGCTGCCGCATGCAACATAGCTTTGATCCTTCAACTAAATAGCCCTCATCAGGGCTTGGATGAAAATGACGTTTTCTGTAGGACTTTATCTGCTGGGAGTCGTTCTATGTCGGGGAAGGAACATTAGTAATTGCAATACATGTGTGCTGAGATACTGGTGCAATTGACAAACATCTCTCAGGACCGTGCTCCATCACCGAATGGAACACCTTCTAGGTGTTAACCGCTAACATGTCAGCATTATGGGTTCTTGAATCAAACATCAGGTGCCTCTTTGGACGATTTCACATGAATTTCTTACTCTAGGAGGCCATCGCCTCTTGGGGTGGGGGACCCCACCGTGTAGTAGAGTTGCTGAAGTTAAGTCCTCAAAACCCAACCAATACTTCTGATTGATGGAATGAAGATCTGAGTCCAGCACCTCTCGTCTATGGTGACTCAAAGTGGTCAAGGTTTACGGCACCACAACCGGCCAACCTCTGCAGGGACACACCGAGCCTGGAACCCCTCGTAGGCATAACACCAATGCTCACGCAAGCAAACAAACTGCTACTTAGCTGCTGCATGCAAACATGGCTTTGACCTTCCAACTAAGTCACCCTTCATCAGGGCTTGGATGAAAATGACAAAGTTTTCTGAGGGACTTTATCTACTGGGAGTCGTTCTATGTCGGGGAAGGGACATTAGTAATTGCAATACATATGTGCTGAGATACTCATGCAATTGACAAGCACCTATCAGGACCATGCTCCATCACCAGCATGGAACATCTTCTAGGAGTTTTTAGATAGAGCCCAATAGGAAGCTTTGTCATTTTTATCCAAGCTCTGGTGGGGGAAATTGTTGGCCTTTGAAACGCGATGCCTAACTTTCATCTTCCTGTTTAATTTAATTTGTATTTATGCATTTCTTTCCTTCCTGGGGACTCAAAGGGGGAGATTTGCTAAAACTAGAGAGTGCAAAATCTGGTGCAACTCTTCAAGGGAACCAATCAGCTTCCAGGTTTTATTGCCAAAGTTTAGTTGAACAAGCTGAAGTTAGAATCTGATTGGCTCCCATGCACAGCTGCACCAGATTCTGAGTGATCGAGTTTTGGTAAATAAACTCCAAAGAGTCTAGGGCAACATTTCTCGATCTTTTAACCACAGAGGAACCCTTGGAGTAATTTTCAGGTCTCAGGGAACTTCTGCAAAACACAATTCATTGGTGGTCAGTGGGAAGAATGTTCCTTACATTGGTGGTCAGTGGGAAGAATGTTGCTTACATTGGGGGTCAGTGGGAAGAATGTTCCTTACATTGGTGGTCAGTGGGAAGAATGTTGCTTACATTGGGGGTCAGTGGGAAGAATGCCCCTTACATTGGGGGTTAATGGGAAGAATGTCCCTTACATTGGGGTCAGTGGGAAGAATGTCCCTTACATTGGGGGTCAGTGGGAAGAAGAATGTCCCTTACATTGGTGGTCAGTGGGAAGAATATTGGTGATCAGTGGGAAGAATGTCCCTTACATTGGGGGTCAGTGGGAAGAATGTCCCTTACATTGGGGGTCAGTGAGAAGAATGTTCCTTACATTGGGGGTCAATGAGAAGAATGTCCCTTACATTGGTGGCCAGTGGGAAGAATGCCCCTTACATTGGTAGTCACTGGGAAGAATGTTCCTTACATTGGTGGCCAGTGGGAAGAATGTTGCTTACATTGGGGGTCAGTGGGAAGAATGTTCCTTACATTGGGGGTCAATGGGAAGAATGTTCCTTACATTGGTAGTCAGTGAGACGAATTTTCCTTACATTGGTGATCAGTGGGAAGAATGTCCCTTACATTGGTGGTCAGTGGGAAGAATGTTTCCCTTACATTGGTGATCAGTGGGAAGAACGTCCCTTACATTGGTGGTCAGTGGGAAGAACGTCCCTTACATTGGTGGTCAGTGGGAAGAACGTCCCTTACATTGGTGGTCAGTGGGAAGAACGTCCCTTACATTGGTGGTCAGTGGGAAGAACGTCCCTTACATTGGTGGTCAGTGGGAAGAACGTCCCTTACATTGGTGGTCAGTGGGAAGAACGTCCCTTACATTGGTGGACAGTGGGAAGAACGTCCCTTACATTGGTGGACAGTGGGAAGAATGTCCCTTACATTGGGGGTCAGTGGGAAGAATGTCCCTTACATTGGTGCTCAGTGGGAAGAATGTCCCTTACATTGGTGGTCAGTGGGAAGAATGTCCCTTACATTGGTGATCAGTGAGAAGAATGTCCCTCACATTGGTGATCAGTGGGAAGAATGTCCCTTACATTGGGGGTCAGTGGGAAGAATGTCCCTTACTTTGGCGGTCAGTGGGAAGAATGCTCCTTACATTGGTGATCAGTGGGAAGAATGGCCCTTACATTGGTGGTCAGTGGGAAGAATGCCCCTTACATTGGTGGTCAGTGGGAAGAATGCCCCTTACATTGGGGGTCAGTGGGAAGAATGTCCCTTACATTGGTGATCAGTGGGAAGAATGTCCCTTATGTCCCATTGGTGGTCAGTGAAAAGAATGTCCCTTACGTTGGTGATCAGTGGGAAGAATGTCCCTTACATTGGTGGTCAGTGAAAAGAATGTCCCTTACGTTGGTGATCAGTGGGAAGAATGTCCCTTACATTGGTGATCAGTGGAAGAATGCTCCTTACAAACACTTGAAAACTTCATTGGTGTCATGATGCTGGCTCATCTCATGGAACCATGGTTGAGAATGGCTGACCTATGAGATAAGATAACCATCTTGGGTACACTCAGTTGAGCCGGTTAACCTACCAGCATGTCTTTGGAGTGTAGGAGGAAACCACACTACCCAGAGACAACCCATGCAAGCACAGGGAAAATATGCAAACTTTATCAGGGCTTGGATGAAAATGACAAAGTTTTCTGTAGTACTTTATCTACTGTGAGTCGTTCTATGTCGGGGAAGAAACATTAGTAATTGCAATACATGTGTGCTGAGATACTCGTGCAATTGACAAAAATCTCTCAGGACCGTGCTCCATCACCGAATGGAACACCTTCTAGGTGTTAACCGCTAACATGTCAGCATTAAATAATTATGGGTTCTTGAATCAAACATCAGGTGCTTCTTTAGATGATTTCAGGTGAATTTCGTACTCTAGGAGGCCATCGCCTCTTGGGGTGGGGACCCCACTGTGTAGTAGAGTTGCTAAAGTTAAGTCCTCAAAACCCAATCAATACCTCTGATTGATGGATTGAAGATCCGAGTCCAGCACCTCTCCTCTATGGTGACTCAAAGCGGTCGTGGTGTACGGCACCACAACCGGCCAACCTCTGCAGGGACACACCGGGCCTGGAACCCCTCGTAGGCACACCGCCAGTGCGCACGCAAGCAAACAAACTGCTATTTATCTGCCGCATGCAAACATGGCTTTGACCCTCCAACTAAATCACCCTTCATCAGGGCTTGGATGAAAATGACAACGTTTTCTGTAGGACTTTATCTACTGGCAGTCGTTCTATGTTGGGGAAGGGACATTAGTAATTGCAATACATGTGTGCTGAGATACTCGTGCAATTGACAAAACAGCTATCAGGACCGTGCTCCATCACCGAATGGAACACCTTCTAGGTGTTAACCGCTAACATGTCAGCATTACATAATTATGGGTTCTTGAATCAAACATCAGGTGCTTCTTTGGACGATTTCACGTGAATTTCTTACTCTAGGAGGCCATCGCCTCTTGGGGGGGGGACCCCACTGTGTAGTAGAGTTGCTAAAGTTAAGTCCTCAAAACCCAACCAATACCTCTGATTGATGGATTGAAGATCCGAGTCCAGCACCTCTCCTCTATGGTGACTCAAAGCGGTCGTGGTGTACGGCACCACAACCGGCCAGCCTCTGCAGGGACACACCGGGCCTGGAACCCCTCGTAGGCACACCGCCAGTGCGCACGCAAGCAAACAAACTGCTATTTATCTGCCGCATGCAAACATGGCTTTGACCCTCCAACTAAATATTAGACCTAATCTTCAAGAAGGATCCGAAATTGAATTAGTTCCTATTGATTTGTCGCGGCGGACGAAAGAATGTGACAACGATAAGTGGGACAGCAGATACATTTCTGCACAGATGTCAACAACAAGACTGCCTTTACAAAGAGTCCCCAAAAAAAAAAATCTTACAGAGCTGACAGGCCGAGAACTGTGCCTATGTGTGTTAACCAGAGAGTGTGCTGCATGGAGGATGAATGGGGAGCCGGGTGTAAATGACTTTAAAATTAGCTGGAACAGATGGAAGGGTCACAGTTGAGCAATTTTACACAGGCACATAATGGCCGCACTCAAGTTCAGTTCATTGCCTCTGATAGATACTGTCAATCACGCCGGGGCTCCCTCAGTTAACCAGCAACCTCCTATTTGCAAAGAATACAATTTTCCCCCTCGGCCGCTTTGTGAATCAATGACTGCGTCCCATCGGCTACATGTCAAGCAGAAACTCCGCTCCGCGCTGCGCATCCACCAGGACAATGGCTCTTGAATTTTCTTGTCTTTCGATATGTTAATACCTTATTAACGCCAAAGAAGTGGGGGCTGAGGGGGGTTCTATAGACAGGACTTTTTTTTTTTTTTCTCAAACAAAAATAAAATTGGGGGAAACGTCTCACAGAAGTAAAATCATTCGATCGTGAAACGTTGTAAAAATCAGCCTTTTTTTGGGGTGGGGAGGGAGAATTCATCTAATTTTAGTAAAAAAAAAAAGCGAACTGCTAGACACGGCAAAGGCATTGGATTCTTTGGGCGCAGAAGTCTGGAGGGCGGACATAGGGGAGCAGAGCTTAAAGCGAGCCAATCAAAAACTGGGGTGGGGAGGGAGGAATCATCTAATTTTATGAGAAAAAAAAAAAACGAACTGCTAGATACGGCAAAGGCATTGGATTCTTTGGGCGCCGAAGTCTGAAGGGCGGACATAGGGGACCAGAACTTGAAGCGAGCCAATCAAAAACTGGGGTGGGGAGGGAGGATTCACCTAATTTTAGTAGAAAAAAACAAAAAAACTGCTAGATATGGCACAGGCATTGGATGCTTAGGGCGCAGTAAGAAACCACACAGTAAAATACATAAAACCAATCATTGACATAAAAGAGTCATATATTCATGATAGGACCTGTAGTACAGACACACCCCTCCAAAGAGAGGGAGCGAGAGCAAAAAAAAAATGTTGTAGTAATAGACCCAATGCCACCCTCATGTATATAAAAAAGTACCACTAAGAACATAGTAACAATATGCATACATCAAAATACGGTCAACGCGTTTCGGCTGTGCATTTGGCTTCTTCAGGATGTAGCTTGAATATGAAAGAGAAATATGGTCGACGCGGTTCGCCTGTGCATTTAGGCTTCTTCAGGACGGTAGCTTGAATATGAGGGGGAAATACGGTCAACGTGTTTCGCTTGTGCATTTAGGCTTCTTCAGGATGATAGTGTGAATATGAGGGAGAAATACGGTCAATGCGTTTCACCTGTGCATTTAGGCTTCTTCAGGACTGTAGCTTGAATATGAGGGAGAAATATGGTCAATGCGTTTCGCCTCTGCATTTAGGCTTCTTCAGGACCGTAATTTGAATATGAGGGAGAAATACAGTCAATGCGTTTTGCCTCTGCATTTGGCTTCTTCAGGACCGTAGTTTGAATATGAGGGAGAAATACGGTCAACGCATTTCGCCTGTGCATTTGGCTTCTTCAGGACCGTAGCTGGAATATGAGGGAGAAATACGGTCAACGCGTTTCGCCTGTGCCTTTAGGCTTCTTCAGGACCGTAGCTTGAATATGAGGGAGAATAATGCTACTGCACATATAAAGAAAGTACAAAGTGAATTATACAGAAAAAACATACAGATATACATAAGATCAACAAGAAACATATGTGTAAAATTAGGCTGAGCTTACGTGGAGAGGACGGATGAGCGGCACAGAAGTCTGGAGGCCGGACATAGGGGACCGGAGCTTGAAGCGAGCCAATCAAAACCTGGGGTGGGGAGGGAGGATCCATCTAATTGTAGCAGAAAGTTTCATAAATGGTCATCTGAAAATGTAACCACTTGTAGCTCTTTTCACCTCAGAGCCGATATAAACCCGATCGCTCATCAATGGAACCGGAGGAAGAGATGTTTAAAGGGATGCTGAGCCCCGGTTCAGAGCAGCGTGGCTTTGAAGTCGTTTGCTTCAGCGTGATTTCAAAGGCGACAATCAGTGCGATTTTAGGGCACGATTTCATTGCAGTTTGCGACTTCATTAAACAGATGTTACGGCGAGTTGCAATAAAATCGCACAAAAATAAGGCTGGAATAAGTCGCAATTTGAACGATTCCATTGCCGCTAATAGAGAGTAACTGCCAAGGTGTGAACCGAGCCGTAAGGGCTGTTTTCACCCCCTTCCAGTCCGGACACTTTCCCCCCCTTCCAGTCCGGACACTTTCCACCCCCTTCCAGTCCGGATACTTTCACCCCCTTCCAGTCCGGACACTTCCACCCCCTGCAGTCCGGACACTTTCCCCCCCCCCCCCTTCCACTCCGGACACTTTCCCCCCCCCCACTCCGGACACTTTCCCCACCCCCTTCCAGTCCGGACACTTTCCCACCCCCCTTCCCCGACACTTTCCCACCCCCCTTCCAGTCCGGACACTTTCCCCCCCTTTCCGGACACCCCCCTTCCAGTCCGGACATTTTCCCCCCCTTCCATTCCGGACACTTTCACCCCCTTCCAGTCTGGACACTTTCACCCCCTTCCAGTTTGGACACTTTCACCCCCTTCCAGTCCGGACACTTTCCCCCCTTCATTCCGGACACTTTCACCCCCTTCCAGTCCGGACATTTTCCCCCCCTTCCAGTCCGGACACTTTCACCCCCTTCCAGTCTGGACACTTTCCCCTCCTTCCAGTCTGGACACTTTCACCCCCTTCCTGTCCAGGCCAATTTTCAGCTTTCAGCGCTATCACACTTTGAATGACAATTGCGCAGTCATGCAACACTGTACCCATATGAATTTTTTAGCATTTTTTTGAGACAGATAAAGCTTTATTTTGGTGGTATTTATTCACCGCTGGGATTTTTATTTTTTTTGCTCTGTAAATTAAAATGTCCAAACATTTTGAAAAAAAGTGTTTTTCCTATAAAATTTTGCAAATAAATAATATTTCATCATAAATCTTGACCAAAATTTATTTCGTTATCTTTATATTAAAAAAAATAAAATAACCCAAATTAGTTTATAACCAAAAATTATCATTTTTACATTTTTTTTTTACATTTTTATTTTATTTTTTTGTTATTAATTATGTTTTTTTTCTACATACTTTCACCCTAGCAGTACAGTGTCCCCATGGTGACACTGTACTACTTGTGGGGGGTGAGGAAGATTTTGTTTTACACTGATTGCTTTTACACTTATAAAGGCTGTAAAAG